TGTTATCATGCATTGGGAAACATTTCCTTAATGGTTTTTATGTATAGAAAGGCACTCTGTGTCCCATATATATGAGACAAACGTTTGACCTGCCTGCCCCGGCATACATACAAACTGGACCTAGAGCAGTTTTAGGACGGGGACTAGCTCATTGTGAATCTGGGGCTGCCTGTCGTCTGCTCCTCCTCCATCAGGTCTTGGTTTCTGGCTATTTTTGATTCAACATTTTAGAATGAAGCTGTATAAATATAGCCTAATGAGGATTTTAATAGGTTTGTAAACCACAAGCAACATGAGGTGGTTTATTTTAAAGACAAGTTGTCTAGCGTCATGCTCTGATGAGTAGGCTTGGAGCAGGGGTGGTGGTTATTCTTCCACTGAGTCCTGGGTGGGGAAGCCAGGAGGCCTGTGTGCTGCAGTGGAAATGCACAAGCTGGGGAGTCGGAAGCCTGGACTAGGTCTTGACTCAATGCCTAATCATAGTGTCACTCTGGCAAGTCACTCCCTCTCTGGGCTCTGGCCACCCCATTATTATCCTGAGGGTCAGAAGGCCTTCACCCCCCAGCCTCTTGCTCTTTATTCAGCGATTCTATCTGCTGGCTTTGCCATTTCCCCTGCTGTTTCATTGTTATCTTGGTCTTGAAATCAGTCCCTTTATGTGAACTCTACAGCATGTGACCACACTTTGGCATTCTTTACCCCTGGTTGATCAGATGCTTGGCTTAGGGAAATGTGAATATCATCAAAATGTGTATTTTCCACTTTTGCACTTACTATAAGTGCTCAAGAATGAAATGTTGATAATGTAAAGTGCAAACTTGGGACGTCGGGTTACTTACTGATTTCCTTTGTTAACATGGCTTCAAGTTGTAAGTATAGTGTGTTATAAAGTTCTATGGGTTATTTGGGGGAGTGGAAAACATGAACCAAAGGATAATGTGGTGGAAAAGAAAGAGCCGAAAACAGAGTTAACTTTGGGGATGTGAAGAATATGCTTAAGTGGCTCTCTGTTATTGTTCTTTGGCTGTTGTTGGTACTGGGGCCTCGTAGTGCTGTCCTTTAAGTGTTGGACTGGACTGCTAACTGTGATTGGTGCTTCAAATCCACCAGCTAACTGCTTCTGTAGAGATTGACATTGTTTGAAACTCTGTATAGGGAACCTGGTATTTAGTGGTCTGCACATTGGGCTGCTAACCACAGGGTCAGCGGTTCAAATCTACCAGCCACTCCATGGGAGAAAAGTGAGGCTTTCTTCTACTGTAAAGGTTTACAGCCTCAGAAACCCAAAGGGACCATTCTCCAGGGTTGCTGGGAGTCAGAATGGACTCGATGGCCATAGGTTTGCGTGTGGATAGTTGGCACCAATGCTCAGTGTGGGGTTACATAATTTCTAGTCAAGGGTCCTAGTTCTCACCCATAAGAGAAGAGAGTGGTAGTCACCAGTTGGGAACAACTCGGCATTCATAACTGAACCCAAACATCAGTCATTCTACAAGGCACTTTTAATGCCATTGAGCTCCCTGTACTCTCGTCCAGGTGAACTACTCCGCCCCCGTGGATGGGCCATCTCCATCAGGCCATTCACACCATTTCAGTGGATCTTCTCTGGGCTGTCATCCCTTTGTTTACAATCTGGTGTGAGCCTCTGTGCATTATAAGTTTTTCCTTCATACAGAAACTGTAGAAAAAGGTTTGGAGGTATCATTGTCATTGTCTGACCTCTTCTAACTTCCTAAGGGGAGAAGGAAAATGACTATTGTCAGCTGCCCAGAGCCAAGTCCTATGCTGCTGAGGGCAGGCCTGCCCCCCACCTTCCCACCCTCGCACCTACCTACCAATTCTGACACCAACTATCCGGCCCACAACATTCTCTGCTATTCAGCGGGTTCAGTAATCCATTGCAGTGGCCACACAGAACTCAAACAATACTCGCAGTTATGGGGTTTATTAGAGAAATTAACAGATTCCATTTGGGTTCAGATATATTTAGTAAACGGTTCTTTGATTAAGAGAGCCTCTTCTCAGATTTTGGCCTCTTCTCTGCTGAAGCTATTAAAAATTCTTTGCCCAAAGAGCATGCCACTCTGCCATAAGCCTCAGCTTGAAGATGGTCCACTTTTTCTCTGTCAGCAAACTTAGCTTCCCCCAGTTCAGTGCCTGGAGGTATCCCATTCCACAAGCCAGGTTCCTGGCTGAAAGCACGGTAGTTGCTCTGTGAGGCTGGGAAGCCCCACCACTGGGGCTCCTGCTGCTGCTGCTTTTCTGTGCTCCTCTGGTGTCTCAGCTGTCTCCAGGACCTCCAGATCCAGTGGGCGTGCTCCGCTCTTGTCTCCTCTCGCTGGTAGTGAACTTCCCCTTTCCTGCTTTATTAACAGTCACACACAGCTGACTCAGATCAATGTCATCTATATCTTTACTCACCATCTCTTTTTTAAAGTTTTTTTATTAAATACTTTTATTGGGGGCTCTTACATCTCTTATCACAATCCATACATTCATCAATTGTGTCAAGCACATTTGTACATATGCTGCCATCATCATTTTCAAAGCATTGTCTTTCTACTTGCTTCAGCCCTTGATATCAGCTCCTCATTTTTCCTCATCCTCCCTCACAAACCCTTGATAAGTTATAGATTAGTATTATTTTCATATCTTACATCATACTCTATTGCCCTTCACGTACTTTTTTGTTGTTTGTCTCCCTGGGAGGGTGTTATATGTCAATCCTTGTGATCGATTCCCCCTTTCTCCCCCTACCTTCCCTTTATCCTCCTGGTATCTCTATATTCTCATGGCCCTGAGGGGTTTATCTATCCTGGATTCCCTGTGTTGTGGGCTCTTATCTGTAGCAGTGTGCATATTCTGGTCTAATCCGATTTGTAAGGTAGTATTGAGGTCATGATAGTGGGGGGAAGGAAGCACCAAAGAACTAGAGGAAAGTTGTGTGTTTCATCAGTGCTACACTACACCCTGACTGGCTCATCTTTTCCTTGTGACCCTTCTGTGAGGGGATGTCCAATTGTTTACAGATGGGCTTTGGGTCCCCACTCCACGCACCCCCTCATTCTCAATGATAATGATTTTTTGTTCTTTGATGCCTGATACCTCATCCCTTTGACACCTCGTGATCACACAGGCTGGTGTGCTTCTTTCATGTGGGCATTGTTGCTTCTTAGCTACATGGCTGCTTGTTTATCTTCCAGCCTTTAAGACCCCAGATGCTGTATCTTTTGTTAGCTGGGCACCATCAGCTTTCTTTGCCACATTTGCTTATCACCCATTTTGTCTTCAGCGATCAAGTTGGGAAGGTGAGCATCACAAAATGCCAGATTATTAGAACAAAGTGTTCTTGTGTTGAGGGAGTACTTGAGTTAAGGCCCAGTGTCCATATACAACCTTAATTCTTAACATAAGTACATAGATCTATTCCCCTCTCGTTATATATAAATATATTTACATATGTACATGCCTATATTTAGACCTCTATAAATGTCCTTTACCTCCTCATTCTTTCCTCTATTTCCTTTTGCTTCCCTCTTGTCCCACCATCATGTTCGGCCTTCATTCGGGTTTAGTAATTCCTTGCTGCTACATTGCCCTCCACTAAACCCCACTAGGCATCTTATGCCCTTCTCTGCATTGATTTGAGTTCACTTATCCTTCCCTTGTTCCTGGGTTGGGTGTCGTCCCCCCCCTCCTTTCTCCTACCTCCCCTTCTCCCATATCCTCCCCTCCCCCCAACCATCGGACCCGTTCTTTTCATCTCCAAATTGTTTATCCCACTTATCTTATCTAGATAAACATGCAGAGACATTAATAAGCACAAAAACCAGGCAAAGCCAAACAAAACAACAAAGGAAGTAAAAACCAACAAAACAATAACTACACCCATAAAACAAAAAATAACAACAAAAAGAAAGCCACTGACAAAAATGGAAAAGCCTATAAATAGTTCAAGGTCTGTTGGCCTCTAGGAGTGTTTTCCAGTCGAGTCTAAAGGGATACCATAGTGTCTCCAAAGTCTATTTTCGGTATTCCCTGGGGATTTCATCGCTTTGCTGCCCTTAGTTGCATGCTCTGTTGCACACCCTTAGTGTTTTGCCCCAGTGTGGTGGGGTCAGATGGGGCACAATTCCCACACTGTCTCCAGTCCTCACCATCTCTTACTCAGACCCCTCAGGAAAACGTTATTGGGTGGGAATTACAGAGACTATCTGGAAGAGTCATAGTCAGTAATTCACTGCACTGCAGGACACCCCATTCACTTCTCCCTTTGATTATTTTTTTGTCAGCACCCATGAAGACAGCCACTTCATGTCCTTTATCATGCCCCCCCCCTTTAATTGCACATCCCTATCCATTCAGCTGCCTGAGGGAGGAAACCAAGTGGGCCCCTTGATCTGGAGGATCTTCCATTGTAGTTGGGACTGTGGACAACGGCATCCAGAAGGAAAGTCCCGTCCCAAGCAAGCCATCTAATTTCAGCATTCACACCAACTGTGCATAGTGTCCAACAACTTGTCATTTGGCTAGTCCTGGTAAACTCAGACCTGTCCATCCAAGCGAGATCAAATGGGTACCAGCTGCAGGCTTGGGGACCCACATACACCTACCTCCCTGTCTCACTCTCACCCCTAGCCCCCCACACAACCCCACCCCCAGATGTAGGGAATACCTAAGTTTTGCCTATCCTGATTGTATTTATTTGAAAATTTGAAATATGGATATGTTATAACCCTCTTCATCTCTTCCTTCCTGTCATCTCATTTTCAGAGTATAATGGTGTTTTTCTAAGTATTTATTAAATGATAGAACTGTGTGATATTCAAATAAAACTTTTGCTCAACAGAGATGACATGCTTGGCCCAAAGAGGTTTCTCTGTATCTTATTCAGTACTTTTCTAATTGTGCTTATTTTTGAAAGACAGTAATATTCTAGTAGCTGGAACTGACTAGGATTTCTCCTTCTTTTTCCAGATAAGCCCTACAGAAAGCTGAGTGCCCCACACTGTGGTTTGCAGAACCTTAGTCTATGAGAGAGAAGGAATTGTCCACAGGAAGAAAGGCTCCACAGGCAAATCACTTGAGGAAACGCTGAGCTAAACATGGTTAGCCAGGTTTTTGTGTTGAATGATGGCTGTGTTGCGGTTTTTCTGCAGTGCTTGTCAAGAGTGTCGTGCTGTGCATTGTCACTGTCCAGAAAGGGAATACCTGCCAATTGCGTTATGTAAGAATACCTTCCTCTCCCCACACACACACGTTGGAGGGAGTGTATACTGAAGCTTGGTGTCGGGAACCCTCTGATTTGTAGATTGTTGCAGAATTCAAAGCATTTACTCTAACTAAACTTGGAATATTTCAGTAAGAATGAACATTTTAGCACAACGGCTTTTTCCGGCCTTTTTTCCCCCCTAAACTTTGACCCACAGTGAGAAATTGTATTTGTGACCAATGACTCTGGACATACACAGAGACACAGAAAACTGAAAAAGAAATTTAACTTAAAAAAAATAGTTGGCCTTACTATATAGAATACATTCTAATACTTTCTGTTCTGGGTTTTTTTTTTTTTTCTTTTTCTACTGATTGATTATTTTTATTTGCTGATTTTTATTGAGTAGTTACTATGTACCAGGCATTTTTTCCATCATTTAGACATTCACAACATCATAAAGTTTCTCACATCAGGAGCTGTGCCCCAGTTTAGAGGTAAAATAATTGATACACAGTGGATGACAAATTACACACGTGTTTCCCAAAGCATAGCCAAGTGTTCTGAAGTTGCATAGATTTTGTCTGTTCTGGTTTTGTTGTTGTTTAAATGCTTGTTACAACCACTAAATAATTCACCACTCAATGTGAGAAGCACTGAGAAGTTACGTGAATATATAAACCCATGTTCCGGGGAAAGCCACTGGACGGGCTGTTTCCTGAGGGAGACAGCTCACTCAAGTGGCGAGAAGAGTGAGGCTTTGTTCTCGGTTTCTTGCCTGTCTCATCTGTAAAATGGCTTGCCGGAAGGCAGTGGTGATGGCTCAGTAAAGCGTGCTTTTTATACTGGAGTCTGATACAGTCTCCGTGCCTAAGCTCATTTTAGCTTTTCTGATAACGGAAGCACCGAAAGTCATTCTGTGCACCGCCTATTGTGTGTTGTGATATTAACTCTCCCTAATCACTTTAGATTTGCCAAAAGGGCCCACTTAGTCTCCCTGCCTCATACTTGCTAAGCTTTATGCTATACATTACTGCCGTATGTTTTACTAATGCCCTAGATTTCGAGTTGTTATTGTGAGGTGCCAGCAAGTCGGTTTCCACTCATCTTTGCACAGCAGAAGGAAACACCGCCCGGCCCTGCGCCATCCTCACAACTGTTCCTGTGCTTGAGCCTGCGTGGCAGCCACCATGGCAGCCCAGCTGGTGAAGGGCCTTCCTCTTTGTTGCCCCCCTCTTTTTTACCAAGCATGATGTCTTTCACCAGGACTGGCCTTACCTTCCTTGCCTCTAAGGAGCATTCTGGCTGTACTTCTTCCCAGACAGACGTGTCTGTTCTTCTGGCGGTCCACGGTCCTTGCAAGCCAGCGCCATCGTTCCAATGCATCTCTGTGATGACATGCAAACCCAGGCCTGCCTACGTTGGTCATTCATTTTGCTTTCTTAGACCCGGAACCCCATGAGAGGCGGCCTGTGACAGGGCTGCCCTGTTTTTCTGGGCCTTAACAGTTTTCCACTTTTCTGTTTCTCTCCCTTCATGGAAACTATTTGAGTTTTCTTTCTTGTGAGTTTCTACTTCACACATTTTACTGTAGTTTTAATTCACTAGATGAGAACAAGGTAAAACCTCTGATTTCCTGTTTATCCACATTTCTGCAGTTTGTTTTTTCTATCGTCATCCCCTCAGCATTTTATATTATGATGCGGGCTTTTATTCTGTGTCTTGCTCTAAGAAAAAGGACCAGTAGAGGAGCTGGGCCAGGGTGAGGGCCCAGTCCAGCTTATAGGCAGTTCCCAGTGTCCTGAGCACAGCTGGCTGCCTCACACAGACGTTGCCTTCTAAGTGGTTAATGTTTCCGCACCTGCTTTTATTGCCCGCTTGTTCTCATTGAGGCCTGAAGTTGCAGAGAGGAGGGTTCCAGCAGCATCACTGAGGCGCCAATTCTGTAGGAAAGGCGCTACGTGCTCTCTCCTTGAGTAAGCAGGAAGGGGGGCCCTGGTGGAGCTGTCAGGTAAGCATTGGCCTGCCAGCCACACACACGTCAGCTATTTGCACCCGTACAAAGTTACAGGTTCGGAAGCGCTCTAGAGAGAGAGAGCCGTGCTATATAGGGTTGCTATGAGTTGGAATCAGTTCTGTGGTCATGGGCTTTTATTTTGTGTAAACAGAAGAACGGGTAAAAAAGAATAAATAATTGTTAGTCAAGGCACACACAGGGAAGCTTGCTTATGGTGTCCACAGGCTTCTACATATATTTATTTTATTTTCCTTACTCCTATCGGTAACCTCATTTTCAGGATTCAGTGGAGAAAGATGCCCTACAGTTGAAGCCTTGGGTCCAGAGCTTGTCACCTGGCCTCCCTGCCAATCCTTCCTGCCTGTGTTGCTCTAAGACACGGACCGGGCATCAGGAATGTCTGCTCAGAAAGCGGCAGGCTCCCCTAGTCAGGAGCCATGGTTCCAGGACTCGGGTGTGGCCATCATGGTGCTAAGTTGCTGATAGTGATATTTGGGAGCTGGCAATGGAATATTAGGGACGTGAACTCACTGGCTCCCCTCACCCCCTCCAAAAAATGAAAAAGGAACAAGAGGAGCCCCTGAGTCATAGAGACTGGACTTGCTAGCCAGAAGGAAGAGAGTCCTAAGTGAAGGGTTGATTTCTGCCAGTTGAGGCCGGTCCGACTCCTGACAGCCCTGGTGTGCAGGATCTCACTGCTCCGTGGGTTTCCACGGGAGTCTTTCCAGAGACAGCACGCCAGGCCTGTCGTCCAAGGCAGCTGTGCATCCAGTCAAACTGCCAACCTTTCAGTTTGACCTTGAGCCTTTCACAGTTTGCACGACCCAGGCTACCTTTCTAGAAGCTACCAACTGTTTCCTCTGAATAAATTCCATTAACTGCTTTGGATAAGAATATAGGCAGAAAATGATGATCTTCAAAGGGATTCATAATTTTGTCCATATTTGAACTAGTCTTAATGTTCCTTGAAAGTCAGGTGGATGATTTTACTAGATTGTGCAGCATGTGCTCATTTTATAAGGGGGCTCTAAAAAGCCCATGAGGAAATGCCATCATCTTTTATTTCCATTTTCCAGGGCACTTTTTGACACCTTGGTGTGCTCTGCTCTGCGCCCCCCCACCCCACCCCCACCCCAAGGTGTTGATAGCTGCTGTTGAGGCCACTGCAGCTTAGGAAGACACCTGTGATGAAGGGTAGACTGCTTCGTGGCGTTCTGGTTTAAATGGGAGCCCATGGCTAGACCTTCTCTTCTGGGCTCCCACTAGCTGGATTCAAACTGCCAACTTCTAAGTCAGCAGAGGGGTCAAGTGAAAGACACCTGCGCCCCCTAGGTGCCTCCTAGCACATAGCAGCTAGGATGTGGTGTGAAGGGACCTGCTGTACTGAGGATCGCTATGAGGCAGCGTCTCACCACAGCAGCAACAGCCTCACATGCCACATCAGCCACTGCTAGGAACTGCTCCCATAGCAAACAAAGCATAAACACTTCTAGTTTAATCCTTAAGTACCACTGCAGGATACTGGAGGATAAAACTAGGAAATGTTTATATACTTCATTGGAAAAGAATATTGAAAGTACCCGGGACTGCTAGAGGACAGGGTGCTGCTTAAAGGCAAGGATGGCAAGACTTCGTCTTACATACTTTGGGCATGTTGTCAGCAGAGATCAGTCTCTGGAGAAGGACATCAAGTTTTGTAGAGTGGAGGGGTGGCAAAAAAGAGGAAGACCTTCGACGAGATGGACTGCATCAGTGAGCTCAAGCACAGGAGCAATTGTGAGACTGGTGCAGGACCGGGCAGTGTTTCGTGCTGTTGTGCACGGGGTCACCATGGGTTGGAGCTGACTTGATGGCACCTGCCAGCAGTTGTATCCTGCTGCCCTCATTCATTGCTGCTTACTCCTGTGGGTCAGAGCCCACTGGGTCCTCAAGAGCTAGTCCTGGTCTTGTCCACAGTGATTAGAAGCTGAGTCAATGGGAAGCGGCTGGATTTCTAGATCAACACAAAGAAGCTTACTGCCATTGAGGAGCCCTCGTGGCATAGCGGGGGTCACGTTGGGCTGCTAGCCACAAGACCCACAGCGTGACGTCACCAGCCTCGGTTGTCTACTCCCATAAACCGTTCACAGTCCTAAGAGACCCAGAGGGGTGGTTCTACCATCCCCTATAGCAGTGATTCTCAACCTGTGGGTCACGACCCCTTGGGGGGGGGCATCTCCAGGCGGGTCCACCCACATGCAGCTGCGCCCACATACGAGGAGTACTCGGCGTGAAGACTTAACCATGCTACACCATGCTTCAAGAAAAAATTTCATTTGTCATTAGAAATAAATATTTCACAATATACAATGACATATTGTTTTTGTGATTAATCATTATGCTTTAATTATGTTCAATATATAACAATTAAAAAACATTCTGCATATCAGATTTTTACATGACGATTCATAACAGTAGCAAAATGACATTGATGATGTAGCAATGAAAATTATTTTATGGTTGGGGGTCACCACAACATGAGGAACTGTATGAAAGGGTCACGGCATGAGGAAGGTTGAGAACCACGGCCCTATAGGGTCGCGGTGTGTCCAGCTGCAGAGGTGTGTGCAAGGAGCATGGCTCTCTTTTAGGGGATTGGTTACTGTCGTGAGGGGACACTGCTACTGAAAACAGTACTTACCTATACACTGGAGTATAAGCCACCCCAAATATCCGCCGAGGCACCCAATTTTACCACAAAAGCTGCATTAAAAATGTGCTGGAAAGTGGCTTATACACGAGTATATACGGTAGCTATTTTAGCTGTTGAGTAGAAGAATAAAAGTTTGCTTTGGATTTTGAAATGCTCAAAGGAGCCTGAGTCTCCCAGTGCGCACTGC